GAAATCATATATTGTAACGCACAACATTATGTTATTGTGGTGTATTACGTGCCTATATGGTATAAAAATAATTTCCCCGTGGGCTGTCCACACGACGGTGAAGGGGAAATTATTATATTAGTAGTGAGTGCAATCCAAAAGTCGAGGCCGTCCGGTTTTTTCTTTTTAAACAAATATATTATTACTTTTGAAATTACCGCGACGTTGTCAGTACAATACGTTGCAGCTCGTTCTATTGATTTTCAACACAGTGCACTTGGCTGTATTAAAAAAGCTCGTTTACATAATAACTCATTGTGAACGTCATTAAACCGATCAATCATTAGCGATAATAATTCAAGTACCCGGCAAACAAGTTGATATAATGGCTGTTGCAAACGAAAAAGAAATGTCAGACACTTTGGATCGACCTTACGATAACGGCCTTGTCATTGAACCGAAGAGCAAAATTACGCTATTGTTGAAGATTATTTATTGTTTACAAGTCAGTTTTAGGCGAAATAAAAGTTTGACGGCCAACATCGCTCACCGATATTTCCCTCTTATTTAGGTCCTGTTTTTATTTTTTGTAATAATAAGCTTAACATAATAAGTTTTTTATTTTTTCTCTCGGTGTGCTCTTCAATTATGAATTATATCCGGCCAGGCCAATATTATTACACACTGCTGCACGCATACCGTTAACCCGAACCGAGGCCATTTATAATAATCGCTACACACACACACACACACACACACACACACGCCCATGCTCAAGCACGTACTGTGACCATTATGTGTGCGTACGCTCTTAGGTGTGTGTGTGTGTGGTTTTTTTTGTATAGTTGCAGCGCCGTGAGACAAATGAGAGAATACCACTCGACTGGGATCACGTCGGTGCAGTGGCTGCGGATTAGCCTAGTAAAAGCATTACAAATTGTTATTGCCACGGTGCCGTTACCGGACTGAGAAGTACACTTGGGCGTTCGAACTAATCGCCGAAATTGTCTTGCCGGCACCGACCTCATAGTGTGGGACGCGGGTTATCGCGCCAACAACGGCCGCAGATGAGCTCTAACGCGCATTAGTCTAGATGTGTGTGGTGACAATCTGTGAGAACAATAAAACTGATTTAAATATATTGTAAACACATGCAAATTAGCTTCAGGTCGGTCTATGTTCTGCTGCGGCGACCGAATTATCACCGTTTTCGTGCAATCAATTGACTGTCGTGACTCGGAATTATTCGTGCGATTTTTATTGAAATGTTCTAAGCTGATTAGACAATTTTTTGCAAAAATATTCCCAAAATACAAATTTATGACCAAAAACTTTACTTTAGAGACATGTCTCGCGAGTATCTGCTTCATAAAACATAGATAGTCGAGAGGGACATCGCTCCTAACTTACGTTCTTATCATACGATTATGTATCGAAACGGATTTTTACTGGGCTGCGGCGTCTCGGGTGGCACTCGACTACTGAAAAGGCAGTGAGAAGTTTTATTCTCGGCTAGAAATCGCGTAAAAAATTATATATCAAAATAAAAAACCTTTGGTTGGAGAACGATTCGAGTTTGTACCGGTCTGGTACTCGCATCAACACATATACGTGCGTCGTTACTAGTAAATACCAGCTAAGGGGATGGGGAATGGAATAAGGGTAATGTCCCCGCGCGGCAGACGTCTCGCATACGCCCACCCTTACCGGTGACCGTCGCCGAGCGGTGAAGGCATTTCACGTTGTCGGTCCTATGCCGACAGATCGAAATCGGGTTCCGTTTTTTTCATTTCACTATATCTATACACATTGTTGTGTGTAGAAAATGAATGATTGGTCTGGGATTCTCTTTTATTTTTTCTCATTCTTACTATTACTATATGCCAGCGCATGCACCGATCTTCGGTTGTTCTTGTTTAGGTTTTTTTTTCACTCGGTTGATTGTGTTTAATCTCCCCGGGGCTATGCTTGGCGGCAGCGGAGGAGGCGCGATGGGAAAAATACTCCTAAAGGTATTTACGAGGAATATGATTGTTTTTTTTTTTTTACTCGTGTTTCTTTCGAGTACCATACGTGCGGTGTAGTGTACACTCAATATCACGTTAGCCACTATGCTCCGGTGCGCCCGCAATCGCTTGTTAAAATCAAAATTACAAATATATTATAAAATCCAATAGTTTTTTTTTTTATTCATTCGTCTCGCCATTTTCTCTTCTATTATTATTTATGTTTCAACGACCCTGCTCGAAGAGCTTAAACTCGACGAAACTGTACGTGGTGGCGATTATTATAATTTTTATTGCGAGACAGATAACCACTTATTTTTCGATGGCCTCCGAAAAAGCTTATTATTATAGTCGAAGATTTCTCGTTAACGACTCTTCGATTATTAGAATACACCGAAGAATGATTAACAGTTTAGTTGCCGCGTAGAGAGATTCGAAAGGTTTTTCCCGACGATATTGAGATACAAGAGCCTCTCGAGACCGAACTTTTGCCGGTCGAAAGTTTTTCCAATTCGAACCGAGTGTTTTTGTTGACCAATTAAATTTATCTCGGAAAACGGAAAGCGCACACCGGTGCCTGCGTATCTAGGAATATTATACACTGTGAGCAATACAGACCGGTGCCGTTGCCGAATAACAGACTCTTTGGTAATCTTATCGTTTATTGCATACGCACACGGGCAAATCGGGCCAGTAGCACGTCAGGGATGTGTAACGTAATACGGCGGCGGGGGCGTTTTGTGTGCGTAGTCGTAATACGATTACGTGGAACGAAAGCTGTTGTAGGATAAATGTAAAAGTTTTTTTTCCGGTCCGTCGTCGTCTGTTTGCGACTAAAAGGAAAAAAAAATTAAATAAAACTACATATTTATGTCATTTTTTCACCAATCCGATCGTAAAAGTGTCGGGTATCCGACTCAGGTAAAAAGATTATCCCACACGCGTCATGTAGTCATCCGACAAAAACCTACCGACGGTTTATGGAGCGCAGTACCCCACACGCGTCTCGGTCCTCGTCGTGGTGTTCTATCGCCGTAGGACAAGGACAGGTGTGCACACCGAGTTTACCGTTGTGCGTGTAACGTGATAATACACGGCCCGTGCACTACTAATAATATAGTTGAAAATCGATTGACAATCGTGTGGCGGCGACCGTTTGGAAACGGACTTGACCGGACGGTCCGCAAGAACAAGGGAAGGTGTTTTATTTTTCCGTTGCGCACACTGAGCCGATGTCTTAGCCGAATCCTTTTAATCGCGTATGATTTAATTTTGTAAACACCGACGTCACGTTTCGTTTCGCGGTATTTGACGTCAGCGGATTTGCTGACGACATTACGCAGCAACAGATCATAGTTTAGTTGTTACAATTGTTTTGCTTCGAATTTCGTTCGGTACGTGCCGACGAAAGTTCAATCGCATAATTAGAAGTACACGCGTTGTTATTAATAACCGGTTAACTAACCGATGACATTTTTATGATAACACTTGACCGTGAGCCGATTTTCAGTTTAAACGATGGGATTCCCTTTAGCTATTAAATGTGAACAACTACCGATCGGCGTGTCCTTGTGCACCGCACAACGATTTTTCTCGCATAGGAAATACCTGATGAAACGTGTGTTTATTGTTTGAGTGTGCGTCGTACAGATGATGAAACGGCCGACGGATGTGTTTGGAATTGGTGAACACGGCGGCGGCGGGCTCAAGGTCCGTTTATTAAGATAGAGAATAGAAACGAAAACATTTATGAAACTGGTCCGAATATACACACCGGTCGCGTTCAGTGCACTCCGCCCACGGAGCGTGAGCAATAACAGCATCACGAGACAATAACAGGAGAAAAAGTGAAAATGTCAAGTCGTGTGTCAGCCAACGGTGGTGTACGTGCGCCCCGCCACGTAGGCCCGAGGGCCGAGATCAAACGTGGTGGAGATTTTAGGAGGAAAATGTAAAAACAAAAGCTCGTAGTACAAATCATTGGAAATCACTGCAAATGGTTTGTGACGTAGGTAATCAATCGACGTCCACACTCCATCAAATCGGACAACTGTAGGACATTTTGATGTTGTTGTTTTTCTTCGTAGTACTATTGCGTTTTGACCGACGTTGTTAAATGTTTTGCCGTGTAAACAAAACACTCGGTAGGCTATTCGCGTTGCTGTTGTTGTCAACGCGATAAAAAAAAAAAAAAAAAAACACCAAGCTCTGAAGATTAAATAATAGCCTATTGTTTTGGGTGCAGCCCGCGGCGAGTATCGCGGAAGTTGAACACGCATCACACTAAATAAATAAAACGAATCGATAAAATGGCTTTATTGTTTTCTAAAGTTTTCGCGTAGTAGCCTGAAAATCGGTCGCACGTAAGCTCGACGGCTATCTCGACACGGCGGCAAGCCGATTTTCAGTCACGGTCAATCTCGAGAAGGGGTTACACTAGGGTGCTGTGTACAAAGCGATACCCACGCCAACCGTACTAACCCTTTCCTTAACCGCGGTCGGCGTTTAATAGCCAAGGATCTACAGAAAAATAACGATGGGGTATGCTGCTGAACCGAATACACGGAATAGAAATCCCAAACGAATGGAAATTATGAGGTCATTTTATTAAGTGCAGGTATTGTACGAATTAGCATGGCGATCGCTCTGTATGCGTCCGTACAAACGTTACGTTTACAACGCCGTCGCTGCCGCCTGTATATAATATTCCGTCCCACTTCACGTCCGATTTCAGCTGTGTGTGTGTGTCCTTTACCGCCGCCGTCCCGAGACGTGCACCGCCACTACCACCGCCCGTTTGCTATGCCACTTCCACTACGACCGCCGTTACTACCACCACTACCACTACCGCCCTTCTCCTCGTCATCGTTAGCCGCCGCCGCACGCGCATCCCCTCCACTGCGTTTACCGTCGTAAACATTTACAGCGCGGCGGACACACACCGCCACCACCGGCGGCGCGCTCTTCTCTTCTCACACGCACACACACACACAGACAAATACATACGAATACGTACGCACACACTATACGGCAAGAGGCGGCAGCAGCGGATAACACTCAATATGGCTTCCGTACGATTGGTCTTCGGTCGCGCGTCCGCTTGGTACCACTGTTACAGTGTATTAGTGTAAAACAAAACAAATTAATTAGTTTAATTTCGTCGAATACGTTGATCGTGTTTTTCTTTATTCTATATTCGCTCTCGAATTTTGTTGGCTCGCGTAATCGCCTTTAGTCTCCGTATACGTATTTGTTTAATCTATTATAATCGTATTATTTATCATCGGTGTATGTGCCAGTGATTTTGTGCGATAATATAATTTTTATTTTTCCACGGTTATTTACCACTTGTAATGACCATCTATGTTTGTTTGTGTGATGCTTTCGCGCTTGTCTTATCCGTGTGGTCAGCAATTCGGCCGTAGCTTAAACGCCTGCGGATCATGTCCGATCGCTATCGTTAGATAATTGCCAAAAACAATACCAGAAGCCGGACAGGCACCATGAGTTACCGGCCAAAACCCAACCCGTTCGACAGCCTAAGGAATTCGCCGTCCCACAACCGTGGCAGTCTCAGCTACATGACAGCGTAAGTCCTATGTCCAATATAATATCAACCGTAAACGGTCTAGGAATTTGGCACTAGTCGCCGTTGTTATCATTAATAGGCATGTAATCGGGTCAGAGAAAGTATATTCGCATTGTAATCGTACCCAACTGCTGTTATCACCACTCCTCCATTACTCGACTGACAATTAGTTTCCTTCTCTGAGTACTGATAACACTAATATTATTCCGTGCGTCCCTCCCCTTACACTGTCCCAAATGTCGGCCGCGGGGAGCTGTGTGTCGTTATGATGGTCTAACAGCTGTTTTTGAAGAGCCTGTAGCGTTAGGAGGTACCCTTTACTTAAACAAAGTACTTTTTGTTTAAGACTTGTGGTCAACATTTAATTTGGCTGCCGTATGTGCTCTTCATATTGCCAGAAGAAAACGTGTTGATTAAGGAAATACATTTAGACTCAAGTACAATGTAATTACGAGAAGCGATATGACACTCCTCCTTAATAATTAGGCATTGCAGATGTTTATAAAGAGAGTCCATACATTAATTTTCGGTTTTTCATAATCGCGCCTGAGATTAGTTTTCATAACGCTAGTTAAAGCGAAAATAAGATATTTTGATTAGGACTATGTAATGTTTTATGATTATACATCGTTGTGACTACTAATATCGTTATACTGAAATTACTTTGAATATTTATTTAAAACGAGCAATTAAAATAAAACTATTCGGCCATTAACAGTTCATTAAAATGTATCAACCGTATTTTTTCTGATAAGATTATTTAAAAAGTCAACATTTATACACGTTTGATATAATTGACCTTTTAATATCGTTTAGCAGTATTGTGTTTTATGCGAGTTGAATTTTTAGTTAAACGTATGACTCAAAAAATTTACTTAGACAATCTATTTTAAAAATTCATATTAGTTTCAGTGTATAATCGCCAGATATGTTTCAACAATTTATATTGTTACAATGCTATTGAAATAGAACACGAAATGAAAGCGTGTTCGATGAGATCATTGAATCGAGCAAAATTTGAAAAAAAAAAAAATGTCTTTTAATTCCCAAATGGCATATTGTTTTTAGAATACCAATTGATTTAGCTTAAACCAACACAGGTGTTACCACCGGTGTTAGAAACAAGTACGATTCGTACGACCAATGCAATATAACAGCGAGCAAAAACTAAGTTTTAAGTCTAATGTTTTTCTAGACTATTCCTATTCGATAATGGAAGCATATTCTACTCGCAAACCTAATTATATAACACCACCTCAGCACTTGTCTATTACAATAATGCTCAGCCGTTGTAAACCGTAGTACACATCAACAGGTCTATTAAAAGTACAACGACGCAAAGTCTCTATAGAAATGCGATACGCTTCTATACTCGAACCATCAACCGCGGCATCTTTACAATCTAATAAGTCGTACGAAGAAGTTGGCGAAATGACGCGTTGGCCTTTTAAAAGTTTTTCCATTTTTCCGTAAAGCATTTCCATTTGGTTCCGTCACTCATTGTGTAACACGCAGTGCTTTATAGCTTTCGACTTTTTACCCGACGGCGCAATACGTACACGGAGTGTGTGTTTTTGTTTGATGAATTTTGGCCAGTCTATGTGGGACACTTCGCCACGAACAATGGCATCGCCTCCGCAAAAACATCTATGAGCCAGAGATTATTTTTGCCTACTTGGCGTCTATTTTTGGGCGCATTCGCGATAAAAATACCAAGTGACGCGTACATGTTGTGTTATAAACGAGAGATAGTACTGCATCGATTAATAGGGGATTATTAAAAAATAAAGCAACGACTACCGGTTTTCGGTATAACTAATTCTTTGGAAAATTGTAATAAATGTGTCGATCCGCCGATGGGTAAATAAACAACTACCCGAGTACACCCGATCGATTTATTCTCGTTCAGATTACATTATCGGTATCGTTATCACGTGTTGATATTTTATATTGTGCACGGCGGGCGTTAAGTTAATGCGGAGCGCGTTAATAGTGTTATTCAAAGTGTTGGAACAACTATCTGTGAGCCGTAAACTGCTACTACGAGAACTTTATGGATTTTCTTCGGGGAAACGGTGCTGGGACCAAATCGTTTCCGCAAAGACTGCAGTTTGGGGGCGTTACAGTATTATTATGACGGCGGAGGTGAAGTGTGTATATATGTGTGTGTGCAACACTGTCCGCCGTCGGATCACGTCCTCCTATACACAATCACGGCGAAACGTTCACGACAAACAGACGGCAACGTCGCGTCCCGCAGTCCGCGATGACATTGCCCGATATAATACACTTGTATAATGTATATATATTTTTTTGTACCGACGCGTGTGTGTGTTGTTTCGCTTCGGGGTGTCTTCGTCTCGCTTCTCCGTCTCCTCCTCAGGGACGTCGTATAAATCACGAAAAGGAATTTTTCAAAAAAAAAAAAACATTCACTATATATATATATATATATATATTTATCTAACATTCGGCATCTCTTAATTTTACAAGGATCGTGAACCATAACGTTCCTCGTAGGCGCCCGGCCGAGTTATAATAGATTTTCCAAGACCAGATGTCTTCACTATTAAGTTGTACTTCATACGCCATGCGTTTCTCTTAGACACGCGTGTGACGTCACAGCCAACATGGTTAAGTGGGACTATTTGTTTTTGCTTTTAAGTCGTTTGTGATTAGATTTCCAACGACCCGTCGCGCACCCTTCGGATGTTGTTCTTTTGCAATCGTCTTAAATTCGGTTTATCGTGTGTGTGTGTGTGTGTGATTACGTATGTGTCGTCGCCATTATCGACGCGGTCGGTGTTGGTTCGAAAACGAAACAACTCTCGGGGGTCAGCTAGATAGTTATCGTTCTCATTCTGACAGTCGCCTACGGTGTGTTAGTGCGTATGTATTTTTTGTGTCAGTCCATTATTGACGAGCGCGTGGAATTCTTTTGTCGATTGGAATTTTCCGTCCGGTATTAATCGACTAAATGCTAATGTTTCCCAATGACCGTTTCAATGTACTAATGTCTACTGAGCAGCAAGGTCGTCGCAGCTGACGTTTTTTAAAAATACACTATCTGGTTTATTAGTAATTAATGTTTACTTCAGTGCTCGGACGTGCTGCGAAATAAAGAGTCCCATTGAATAGTACGCGTTACGCACTGCTACTTGGGGTCACTGCAGGTAACCGACTAGTCGGTACGTTGTAATAAACGTGTGCGTATTACAACTGAGATATTATAATCCGGTGTGGTATATTTTGTGTTTTGATCTGCCGCGGCTTTTCAAATATTAAGCATCCAGAGAAGACTATAGTAATTTTTGCCTTTTCCGCCGCACTGTACTACTTGCCCTTTGCGCGTCAACGGCGGCCGGGCGAGTTTCCCTTGCCGCCGCCGCAGCTCGCGCTGTTTTTGCAAGATTCATTACAAACTTTACCGTAAAAAGAAGAAAAAGTTATTTAATTATTTCGCCTTCTTTTCAAACAATTATTTCGGATTTCCTGGCCGCGCCGTGAGGTTATCTCATTTAACTTTATTGTTATATTAACTTAGTTGCGCTCGGCGCTACGGTATTTGATTATTACAAATAGCTCATTCCAATGAGTGTGTTTATGAAAACGCTTATTAGATCCGCAGTTAAAAAACGTACTACAGGTGTGCACCGTACGCGATGTATTTGCACTATCAAAAGTAGCGAATAATTATAGACTTAATAACAATTTTAACGGATTGCCAACTAACCGTTTGTGTTGTCAATTCTCATTGAAAAATTTAGTTGCCCAGAATTGAATTTGAACAAACAACGTTAAGGTGTCTTATCTCCGATGGACATAATCAATAGGTTATCGGGTTGGTTTTTTTTTTTTTTATTTTCCTTATTGAATATTTTTAGTCAACGTGCGCACAGTTGATTTCCGACGATTGGCACAAGTCAACAACCGCCGGTCATTACCTAGTGCGATTGTTATTCGTTTATTGTTCTTACCTACGTAGTTATTGTTGTTTAATTGTTTCATTTAGTTGTTTATTCGTTTTTTGAACACAGTAAATGTTATAATTAACACCCGAATTCCGTCGGTGTCGCATTCGGAGTACGAGTAACTGTTGTTATTGACTGATATTATTGGTGAGATCTCTCAATGACGAGTCTGAATGGCAAATGAGTTTTGCCGTAAGTATTATTATCGTCGAACGACATTGCCGCAGTTATTTTCGCCAAGAGAAACTTTTGTCCGCTGTTTTTAACAGCGCATTAGTTATTAATCTGTAATTAAAAACTTTGCACAACAAAACGTGTCGCCACACTTGGTCGGAAGTCGACGTTAGTTTTGCCTTTGAGCTCGAATTGCACACTGTTTATTTTACTCTTTACTTTTTATTAAACGTTACTGCTAACCTAACCGACGGCCTGTGTTTGTCTTTGGAAACAAAAATACCGGAACTCCATTCCCCCCCCCCCCAACAATCTTCAAACACTGAATCCAATAATATATTGTATACGAGGAATTATTGGATTTATTTTGTACAAATATATATAAATAGAGATCCCGTTACAACCAATTGCTGTTGTTTGGCTGCGTACATAATTTATGGCATCATCACTAATCGCACGTGTTTATACGTTGCATTTAAAATGCAACGTTTGCATGTCGCCAACGATAGGAGGTGGGGTCCCGTGTAGTTTCAGGAAAGGAAACTCGTCTTGTTTCCTGTCATTTGCGCCTCGGGGATCCGTTTTGGGCTAAAAAACGACACCGTTCTCGGCGTTACCATCAGTTAACGTGGAAAAAAAAAGAGAAACGGACTGGAGGGGGAAATTAAAATATGAGTTTCCGGTATATCACGAACGTGGATTTTGCCGGTAAGTCGTCGGGCGCGTGTTGCTTCGGTGCGAACGAAAAACCGTCGTCGCCGTCGCTGGCATAGCCGGTGCCTCCGTAGAGGTCAACGACCACCATTGCCAATGAACGGCAGCACCAGAGACACCGCTTTTGTATTCATATGTATGTTTAAATATTGTGTGTGGATATGCGTTTCCCCCTCGTGCTCACCGCACACAACAGCCGAACCGAGACATCTACAACGCACAACAATAATAATCTTTGTGCACTTCTTCGATGTCCAATCACACGACGCATTGTCACCGGTGCTACTTTAATCGAGACGCTGTTGTGTGTGCGTTCAGTCCCAACGCGTTCCCGTCGAGTCCGCTAACCCGTCCGTGACACACAATTGCATCTTTGACTGTAGTTGTCAGTCTACGGCAGAACCAAAAGCAATACTGGACGGCCGTTTTTTTTACTTGTTTACTTGTGCACAGTACTTTTACGCGAATTAAATAATTCGATTGCTTTCATTTATCCGATTACGTTTGTTCGCATTTTGCGAAAACACCCGAGTCTTTTCGACTCGAAGCTTTTTATATTGTTCGGATTCCGAGTACTTCTCTCAGGTAAATTTCTCGGCATTCCCCTAATTCGGTTTATGTGCGACCTGAGTACATATGCATCATAACAGAGGCGGTGATATGGATTCAATGTCTTGCGTTTTCCTCCCCCGAGCCGTGTGTACTTTTACAGTCGTGTTTAATGCTTTGAAAACTCGCCGTCGACGGCAATTATTTCGCTTTAAGTACAACAATATTGCTTACTCGTTTGCAGGCATTTGCCATTGATTCGCCGCTAACTGATTCCCAGAATTTAACAATAATATTGTACAATATTTATTTGATGCAATCCAATTGTCCGTTGACACGCGACTTTTGCGTTATTTATTACATGTGCCGCTTTGTGTAGTGTATTCCCATTGTGTATGGGCTTTCAATAGTGCAAAGTGAAATAACAACTTTGACCGCGCTCAGCGCCGGGTGTTTTACAGAATTATTAATACAGCAATAATTTGTTTGTTTTTATTGTAATTTTTTTCATGCCGTATGACAAAGAGTTTGCATGTCTATTTTTTGTAAGAAACGCGCGAGTGTACGGTGTGTGACGACGTGCACTTATTTATACACCAGAGCAATTGTTGTTTAACTTTGACCGGTCGGAAACGTTTGGCTAGTTTTCGGGCTGCTAGTTTGTGAATAATAATCAACTGATGATATTAATTATCGCCGGGCAAATAACGATTTGCCCGAGACGCTCGTTTCGCACTTGCCCAGCCGACGCGAAAATCAACATCCGCACGTTTCTAAGGTGAACCGAAACACGTTCGTGTGTGTACCTTTGTTTGCACACACCCACACTAGCGACCCCGTTTAGATTTTGTTTCAGAAAACGGCGTGTATGGGGTGAAAATAAAAATAAAATGGTTCCCGAGTAATAATATTCTCTTCTCGTCGGTGTTGGCCAAGTGTGTATACAGTGACCACCGCCGCCGCTGTCGAGGGATAAACTGAGCTATTGATTTTTTTCTTTATACGTTTGTATTCGCGTGTCTTCTGGGGTAATTTACCGTATACATATACTACTTCTTTATGGCTTCACGTGATACACACATACACGAGCTTTATATAAAGTCCAATGCTCGTCATTAATTATTACAACGTGTACACAACAGACAATTTTCCGCATAACCCACCGACCCTTTTCTCCAGCGCCGTTTCTTTAACGTTGTCGTTTCTGTTCACAATCGATAAGTCCATTTCTGTGCACCCCACGTCACCAACAACAGTCTCGTAACCTGAATTGAACGCCAGAATTTCGACCAAGGCAACACTATTGTTTTTTGCCTTTGATCATCTCGCCGTCAAAAGTCGGTACGTTATTATAACGTTGTTGTGCTCTGCAGTCTCGACGGTTCCCACCGAACGTGCTGTTGCACAACAGATGCGGCCGATATTCATTCGAATTTCCTCTCCTACACGTCGACGACCCCTCACGATAATGCAAACGTTTGCGACGATTGACGAAGGAACTGCGACGGAAGTCGCGTGGCCGTAGGGTCTTTCACCCCTTCGTATTGACGTAGCCGCTATGTGCCAGTAGAAGATCCCCGCGAAGCTGTTATGCGATGCATCTCCCCGCATAAAAACTGTTTCCGGTTTTTGTTGTGTGTATCGATCGAACAGTAGTGGCTCGTTGACGTTTTTTTCGAGCTGCAGTTTATACTCGATGGAAAATAACATTCAAACAGTACTAACAACTGGTTTTTTGTGTTGCAATTCATTTCTCATCCCTTTCCATGTAAAATCAACACCTCGTTGCCGGTTCTTTTTACATGTCTGTACCGGTGCATGGCGTTTTCGGTGTTATGCGAGAACCCCGCCCTGTACGTTACTCTTGTCCGGTTCCACCTGGATATCCACGCACGTCGCTCGGCACATGTCAGGTGTGCGGCGGCTGCAGCAGCTGTAGCCACGGCCGGGATTTCGTTAACCTATCTGAGGAGGGGGGGAGTGAAAAGAATGAAAAAAAAAAGGACTGCAGCATGATTCGGGTGCAGCAGTATGGGCTGCGTGTTGTGTACGGATTGTTTACCTGTAAAGTGTACCCAATATTTTCACGTGCATCGCGGTGTGTGCTCGTAAGAACTCGGCACACTGTCACAGAATTACCTGTTCGGCACACGATGCATCTGCTACCGTAGTCGTGTCTTGGCCGGCGCATCATTTCTGGGGAATTCAGTAGACACTTGCACATTTGCGCAGAGGTTCAAAGAATCTGCGGTTTTATCTGATATTTTAATGTTGACCGCTAAACGTGTGTGACCATCTGTTTCGCCGGTCAGGGCGACTTCATCCGGCAGGTGAACGCGTTGCTCTAACAATATCGTATTGAACGTCGATTTCCATTACGTACGTGTGATACATGTATACTAACGGAATGTGTTTTTTATTTTCAGGATGGAACGGGAAAAACAAAGAGAAAAAGAGCGGCAGTCCAGGCAGCAACAAGTATCGGAAAACAACGTTAAAGACAAAAAAGAACTGTTCGGGTCGCCGGTCAAGGTAATTGCTATTTTTGATTATTGTTCCATAAATGTTGAATTTTATTTACAGCCGTGCTCTCCTTCGTCGTGTTGCATTAAATTATAATTTCAGTTATCGCCGGTCGTCTTCCGGATATTGCTGAAACTGCGGCGAATTTCCTTTCTCTTATGTCTAAGAGAAAATAACCAACTTACTTTTATTTTCGTACCGCCCTGACGCCCACTACGTGCCGTGCATTTGTGGAGTCGGTACTTTTTAGTATCATAGAGTTGACATACAAAAGGCTTTTATGTAATGCAAAATAATATAATGCAACGTTACATAATTCAGTTAGTCGGTCTTAAAAAGGAACATCACGTTGGAAGCGGCCTAACCTAATTTACCATTTAATTGCCCTCATATCGCACAGAAAGTCGTCTTATATCTCTCGACAGAGTTTATTTGGCTTAAGAGTTGACTGAAATCATTTTATCGAGTTCAAAGTTTTGACGACACCGCACTCGACTAACAATGACTAACTGTTAATTATGACGAGTGGTTATTCATCGCTGTTTTAGTTTGTTAAGCAGTTTTTAATAATTTAAACCGCGTATTGATAAAAAACGATATCTTTGATATACGACGGAACGTCAAATTTTTATTTTCCATAAATTGTTCATGTTGTATAATATTGAGTCGTGAGTATCCCGTTGTTTATTTATTTTTAATGCGTCGTATGTGTTTTAATCCAATAAAATGGCGGTTTGAAATTCAAAGAAAATGTTGAATTTTAAAAATGTTAAAAAATCCGTTTGTTTTTTTTTCTTTCTATGAAAGTGCGAGTTTTTCTAGTCATTTAGACATGTTAGTAACTCAAAAGACCGGTCGTTGACCCACTTTGTCATAGTTTTAGGTTTTCGCACAAGTCGCAGGATATGTCAGCGGTTACACGTTGGGTGGTGGTGGTGACTTGAGTTGTACGGGGAAAAATAGCGGTTCGCTCGCAACTGGTGGGGTCTTCTGTAGATTGTTAAAAGGGTAACAATATGACGACGGCTGTATTAATACACACTCGTCATGATTTTGATCTCGTCTGGAACAGCTGACTGATTATGAAAACGTTTTTTTCCATTGCATTGTCTTTAAAGCGCTAATACAGCGCCGAAGAAAGGAGGTTATACCTACGGGCGGCCTTCACGCTGCCGTTCGGTGTGTAATTCCGATGTCGGCGTGTCACGGTTCGCGATCGCCGTCGTCTCCGATTTAAATACGCATTTATTTTTTCCCCTCCTGGTTGCCAGTCCCTTCCCCGCGTTTTGTCCCACGCTGATCGTTCGATACGCGTGCATTCGTAGAATAAAGTGCCGCCGAACGCCGTTGTTTTGTCATCCAGCACACGTACGCGCAGTCGGTCGATGCCGCAAATCTTACCGTGACGGAGGAGACTAACTCTTAACGCTCTTGTCAGAGTGGCAGACGGTAAACCGCAGCAGCCTCTACTAGTAGTTACCGTCGAAATAAACGACCGATATCGCAATGGACGGAAATTCGCTTGTCGACCGAAAAGATTCGCGCGGACGGACACGGCGTTTTTTCGAATAGGTTAATTTTACAATTGCGTTTGCATGCAAAACTCGTGGCGCGCGTGTCCGCCGACAAAACGGAAACGCGCTACGTCATCGCTCATTGCTTTTCTCATGCGACGACTAAAGTTTTATTATTACTCGTTCGAGAAATATAACGCCGATAATGTTCATCGAGCGTCTCGTAATGTTGTCGTCGTCCCGTTTTCTGGGTCGACGACGTCCCGCGTTTTTCGTTAAACGCCCGACAGCGGCCGTCATTTATCATGTTCACATGAGACGGTGTTGTCCTGGGCCGGTTGAACAAGAATTATACAAGATTTATTAATCTCATGTCGCGGTAACAATAGAGTTCAGTTTCCCAACGTCGTCTTTGTGCAAACATTGCAAATGTCGTTTCTATCAGGTCTTCTTTTTTGCGTTCGGTTTACTCAAACTTGGCCACACGCCGAAATCTAAAAAATGACACTTATCATTCGTGTGTTTCACGCCGAACGGTATTAATCGTTTTGAATCTATTTGGTTTTCAATGTACGCCGAGGGGCGCTAACAATCCGATACCGTCGTGTACTCCGAATGCGCATGAATAGTTTTTATAAATAAAAAAACGACTTCAATTTGAGAATGTACTTTCGCCCTTGTACTACCAATGGGAGGAATGCGTGTGTCGATAAATCGGATCGAGTCCGACTGGTTTTATCGCAATTATAATACACTGTTGGTAATATTATTTATGGCAATAATGATGCGTGTGCATTATTTATGCGATTACAAAGGCGGGGAGGGATAAACTAATTAATGATAATGCGCTGAATTTGTGTAGACGCCGTCGCCGCGAACCGGTCGCCGCGGCAGTCAGCGACGGCGGTGTTGCGGATTTGCCGTGTTTTTTTATGTTTAATTATTTGTCACAACATTTACGGATTTGCCCTTGACGCATGCCGCCGCGTGTGGAACAATAACAGCTTATTGCTCCCACAAATAATCGCACTTGTTTTATGGGCTTTTTCTGGCCGAGGAAAAAAAATATTCATTACCTTTGCGGTTAACGATTGACGACCGCGACCGTGCATAAGGTGAGCAATAATTATTTCTAAAAAAAAAAACAATTATTCTCGTCGGTCGCGTCTACGTCACCGGATGACGTGCGCTTAATTTTCAAACAAATAACGCGTTATTGTACTGTCCGGGTTCACAAAAACAAAGAGGAAAACGCGTTCAGAAGCGAGCCGGTATCAGTAGGTTTTTTTTTTTTATTGTATTTACTAGAAAACGCTTTCAGTACGGTGGCGGTTAGCGAGATAAACGTCCTTCGACTTCCGATAAAGCCAATCGTAGTGCGTACTGCGTGTGTGTGTGTGTGTGTGTGTTGCAGGCCAAGACCCTACGCCGCGTATCTATTGTTGTTTTTATCGTAGATCCGTGATGTTATGATGTCGTCAAATAACTATTTTATTGACCGTATGCATTGAGAATCGACACACAACGCCCAAAGGTCGTTACTCCTGTCGCATGCTGTGCTTTTTCTTTTGGGCGCTATGATGTTTGAATAAATCTTGTTTTTATGTGCAGCGCTGATCATTAAGTTAGGTGGTGTTATGTACTTGTAATTGTCATAGGGTTCTGTTATCGTTGCGCATCGGCTATTCCGAGCTGGACGGGTCTATGTATTGAATGCATTATGTAGTATGGTTTACCGGTCGCAGGGGGTGGGGGTGTATGTTGTGAGCTTACGCGCGTTGAATGAATTTGTAGATTGCGATCGTATTCGGAAAAGAGTGTCGTTTGTCTATGCGCCCGTATTAATATTTAACGATTTATTATTTAGAGAAAAAAAAAACCTCTCTAAAGGAGAGCGAAAAATAGCTTCTAGCAAAATTTGCATAATAGTCTTAGCTCCGCCGTTGACCGACCGGAACGTCGTCAAACGTGACGTTTGTTAAAATTTACATTTTTTCTTTCGTCGTAATAATATAAACGACATCCATACGACTTTATTTATGTGCCCGTAGTGCCACTAAAGTAAATTCACCTTGGATACGTTTGTGCTCTTCCTAAATTGACGATCATGTGCAGATCGACACATTTTATCAAAGTGTTTTCGCTACGTGACGGTTACATTTCGTCGTCCTATCTCAAGTGTGTTCCAACGTGTGTAAATAATTCATTTACTCGAGTTTATTGTAAACGTTACCAATAAAAAAAACGAAGATTGTTCTCGGTTTCAAATCGAGTTGTAATTCGTCGATTATCAAAGTAGTTTTATTCGATAATCCGTCGTACGTTTATCGATAGCAACGTTTGTGTTATTACACTCGGCTCGTGTCATAATCGGTCGGGTCGCAAAAGCGTTTAACATCATCATCCGCGTCGTCAGGTCCTGTTGTACTTTGTTTAAGTGGTCGATCAATAAACGAAATGATTTTCGTCGGTGGTGGGTTTGTTACACTGCCAGTCGGACCACTTTGTTGCTCGATAATAAATAATTATTACAGTAATAATAACATTTGTGCCCAGTGTAAAACATCTGAACGATTGCTGTCTCCTTTTAAATACTTTGTCGAGTAATTCGTTTAGGCACTTTTAATATCGTTTAATTAACAACGCTTTCTTAACTTTGTGTACTGTACAAAAACGCAATAACAATTATCTGTCGGCATTAGAAACGTCGCCGGGGCGTTAATAATGGCAAAAAAATACACCTTATTTTGTGTCTTACCACCGAAAACCAATTAATTGCGTCGTGCTAAAACTTTCGAGTGTGTTTGCGCGGCGGACGCGCGACACTTTTACATACTCGCAAGGCTGTTACGTGACGCAATCGCCGTTGGGTAACGCAACAATGTTATTTTTTTATTAAACCGCTAGAATATTATCTAAATGGCTTTTGCGTTTTTATGTAACGCATTTCGACGTTTCGTGTATTGACATATTCGTTGACAACAACATTTCACCAAAAACATGTATGGAAATTAAACGCTCGGCCCAAGACAATATAACTAAAGGGATACAGACCTTGACGGTCTGCGTCTGTGTGCTGTGCAGTTTTACTTGTTCGAGATACAGCCGAGAAATATTTTTTTTTTGTTTCCATCTTTTTTCCTCCTATTCGCTCTTCTCTTTATGCTGCCCTTATGTCGAATCTCCGTGAACCTCATACTCCGTAAAAGTAACGGGGGTGATTGCACGTGTACGTGCCGGTCGTTCATAGTTGGTTTTTTTTTTTAACCCTCCTGTCCACCGATTATGCTATTGGGGTGCTCTCCTCATCTCCCGTACATTTCGTCCTCATCCCTCATACCTGTAGATACTATATATATATATGTGTGTGTGTGTGTGTGTGTGTCNCGATTATGCTATTGGGGTGCTCTCCTCATCTCCCGTACATTTCGTCCTCATCCCTCATACCTGTAGATACTATATATATATATATATGTGTGTGTGTCTGTAACCTTGAAAATCGTATATTGTATTAACGGGCAGTGTCTTATTATTGTTTGTTCCAGGTGGACGATGCGAACGACGACGAACAGAGCCAGCTGATCGAGAGCCAGCTGGGTTCGTTTGACGACGCAAAACCGTTCCTGTTGGACTTGGCGTTCTGCGGAATCACCGGAATGCCACCAAGTCCGGCACCGCCTCCGCCATCGTCGTCCAGTTCGCATCACCATTACCCAAAGTCGTCATCGACGCATCACCATGGAGCTTCCGCAGCCGCTCAACAATCGTCCCGCAGACCAGAATCGCCAGCGTCCGGCTCGGCCGCAGCCACATTGGGACCACCCTCGGCTACGGCTGTCGCGTTTAAAAAACCTACGGTTACGTCACAAGCGATGGCCAGGTCATTCCCTACACCGTCGAACCCTTCTTCTAGGTGAGTCATACCGTTTAAGTATTGTAAAAAAAAACCATGAAAAGAGACCATAGTATCATATCAGTTTATTAATTTGCTTTTAAAAATATTTATCTGTCCTTTTCTTTTATCTAATCTAAATACATAGGATTTAAATTCGAATGTAGTTAATTTTCGTACATATTTTAGAATTGTTATTCAACAATAGATATTTAAAAAAAATCAATATTTAGCTGTTTAATATTTTGCATGATTTAGCAACGCTTTTGTTGTGCGTTTCGTCATGTTGTTTTATTTCAATGTTTAATTAATCATACCTAAAAAAGCAAGATTTTACTAAAAATAAAAAAAATCAAGAATTACTCAATAAAAAATAGCACACCGTCTATTAAATTACGTTTTTGAAAATTATTATTATGATTATGATGATGTTGACCAATGATTAGATGTCTTGTGAACGTTTTATCTTTGATATGCTGAACTGTCTTTTTAATGTAATTTTATAGGTTCACACAACACAGTTATAATATTAATAGTTTAGGTGTTAAATAATATCAATTTCTAGGATTTGTTGTCAGAAAAAACTTATTAATTATCTTATCAGCGTAGTTTATTGTGCGTATAAATTGTTCTTCTAGTCAACAAAAATATTTTTCGATTAAAATCGAAAAATACCATCTATTGTTTTACACATATTATAATATGTGCATATATAGATAGATAGATTGACCTAGTTAACATAATTGTTTACGATGACAAATCTATGAAAAAACAAAAACATGGAGAACTTAGATCAGTTTTGTAAGTTTGAAATTGTTGTAGATAAAAAAACTATTACCCAATCATTTGGGTGTGCGAATAACTATCACTGGAAAGATTGAAATCCGCTTTAAAAGGTGCGATTGTAAAGGCAGAGGGGTGAAAGAGTAGACATTTGTTGACCTCTATGGCTGTTTAATGTGTAGTTTGGTTTCTAGTCATAATCACGCACATATTAGTGTAAATGATCGGATCGAGATTTGAAAGGCATACTAGTAGTTGTGGTGGTGGTAAGTGGTAGTAGACGGCGATGGGAAGGAGGAGGAGAAGAGGTAAGGTTAGTCTTCGTAACAGCTGTTTGCTTGTCGATGTAGCAGTCAGTAGACAATGACCGTGCGCGTGACGTCATCAGTACTATGAAAATCATCTACGGTGTTACTAGTCATTAATATCGGCAATTATATTACATTGCCATTATTTTCAATCGTCTACGCGTCACCTATGCAAACACAAATACATTCACCAAGTTGGACATCCTGAAATGAGGTATATATTGATGTAGTTTATTAAAAATAAGTACATTGAGAAACATTTAACGCTACAATTCTTTATCGTCGATTCGGAAAGTTTATTTTAGAATGTATGTAAATATATATGTATATATATATTGTATGTCGTACATATTGTTCTATTTTTTCCCTGGATGTTTGTGTTTGCTGTCGTCTAAACGAATTAAATTTTTTCACTGAAAATAACAGCAGTGTGTTAAAATTGGAAACTTGTAAACGTTTACCCATAATTGTGAAAGGAATTGTTAATCGCTTACGCAGCTATTTAATTTCACAAAAGAGCAAATGTTAACAGGTGAATCTTATTGAATTTACCCACGGGATAGGACTGACAATAATGATAATAACCAACTTAAGTCCGTAGATTGGCCATGTTATGTTGGCACGACGATGAATGTTTTATTCGCGTGGCTAATTTCTTTTAATTATAACTGTTATAATTTGCATCAATGAACAAGGCAGACATCGGTGAAAAACGGTGCAGTGAAAGCGATTATTTAGCCATTGTTCTTTAAGTTTGTGTATGCATTTTTTTCCACTCCGTTGCTGCAGTTCGGTTTTGCCGACAAACTGCCACATAGCCAAGTCGCCTGGTCGGACCTTGGCCCGGTTGCGGTGTTCGCATTCAGGTGAAATTTAATAGTCGTGACACACTCGCAGTGGGACGACGGGCATGCAAGGCGGACATTGCAAAGTACATTTTTAAATTTGTACACAATTTTTTGCAAGTTCCCCGGACACGCATTTAAAAAAGTAAAAAAGAATTACAAAATGAAGCTTTACGCATATACATTGTCGTCACGGTTACATTTGGCACTGCAATCTTTATTAGAGAAATCGATTGGGTTCATCAAACCGTTACCATCGCCACCGTTGCCTTCTCATATTCTTTGTCTCGGGTACCGCCAACTTCTGCCGATTCAACAATCACTCGCACACATATTAATATTCAATTTGATTTTCGTTGTGACGTTTCTGAACAAATAAGTTAGTTTTTTACTTGTTACGCCGTTTTTTTTTTTTGTCTATTTAAAAGAAGATTTAGGAAAAGTACACGTTCGATTAATATGGTAAAAAAATTCCATCTGTTACAAACGTCATTTTATGTTATCTTGGAAATAATGCATTATATTGGAATTGACGAGCATAGGCGTGCGAAGAAAAGAACGTTGCTCTCTTCATTTCTAACAGTCGGATTTGTCTCTGCCTTCAGCGTCGACTGATAAAAATAGTAGATGAATATATAAAACTTAGATAAATCAGTAATGTGAATTTTAGAGATAAAAAATTTACCTATCAATGTAATTGAAGTACTTGATAAGATGGCATGGACAACAAAGTGACACAAACTATTTGTTTATTTGAGCTTTATTGCGCATTTTTTTTCCTGTTGTTTGCAATTTTGGCACAGAAAACATTTCTCACAAAACAATTCGTTTGAGCATATTTTTATAATATTCGATTCAGTTTTTTTGACGTTGATTCGATTATGATATATACATTTATAGTTATAAATATTTTTGAACTTTAAATCTAAAACTTTTGATTAACAATTACTTAATGGCTGCACGTCCTTGGGCGTTAAAGGTCAAGCAGTGTCTTGAAGTATCCCACTCATACGATCAGTTATGGACAAATAATTAACATATCAAAATGCATTATTTTCGTAGAAAATACTGCAACAAAAATTATAAGATGAGAAAAAATTATTATGTGTAAATTAAATTTTTTTATTTTATTTAATATGTGACACAACGGTAGATTTTATAGTGGTTTTCTTGAGATATTTGTAAGGCTTCTCCTGACTATTGATATAATTAATAAAATATTAGAAATCTGAGCCAAATACTATGTCATTTTTTTTTTTTTATGTAACAAAATTTTATAAAGATTGTTTACTAATAAATATTTTTTTTAAATTACAGAAACAGTAGTTTTTTGAAACCCGGCGAAATGAAGCCACCGTCTTATTCGTCTTTGGGTAGGTCGACGGGATCCAGCAGTAGCAGTAGTGGAATGAGAAATTCCCATTCGACGAGTTCTTCTCATCACAGACCCACTCACAAGCCTAATCTTGCCATATCAAATGTAAATGTGCCATAAATTTGTCTTGCGTGTCAACGAGATAGCCTTAACAGTTTGTTAATAATAAATTGTACTGTTTCATAACATCTCTGTGATTTAATCCTCCACTTTATTTTGGTTATCTTGTTGAATTGCGCAACTCTTTTGTTTCGTTGTACTCTTTTGGGCTAACTTTGTTTTATATTTTGCAGAGTCATAGTTCCGGCGATACCAATACGCCCAGTACCATAGAAGATATTCTAAAAGTGAGTTCTTAACATTATTTTTTTTACACACATTTTTTCATTAATCTTATTTTAATAGGAAATGACTGTTGGTCTTCCGTTAGTATCGGACATAGCGGAAACGCCTAGAGTGACCATAGTTGATTCCAAGTATACGGCTGACGGCAAAGTGGAACCGCAGCAAAGGATGAGTCCTAAAGGTAAGCCGCAATAACCACCCTTTACACGAGTCCAATATCCGAGATTAGTAGTGTATACATGTGACTAAAACGCACTGAATGGGAGTGTTAAAAATATCATAAGAGTTTAAAAATTTAAAAAAGTAATATTTTGAGTTGTCATTTATCATGGGTTTTGGGTATTTAAGTATATTCAATGAATACTATTTAATCTAAGCCTATGGTGATATCTGACATTTGAACTGCGTCTATTAAATAATAACTTATTAATTTTTGAATTCTCAAGTTTTCCATTGTCTAAAACCATCTTCAATTTTAATTTAGCTTTTTTTGATATATATTGACGTATAAAAAATGTAGAGCTTTCACAAGTGTCGTTTGTTCTGATATTTGGGTTAATATATAGACGCTGATAACTTTTTTTCTTGAAAATACATTTGAAATGAATAGAATTATCGCTACATAGATGTCCGACTAAAAAGCAATCATAATTAGTGAGCTCGTCTCATCCCAACCGTGTGCTCCCCTTTCACTTGTTATTACTTTTTTTAGATTTTCTGCCTCTAGCTTATGTAGTTGTCGTTCATCGTAGTCAGGTTTTCCATATAATTTTTTTTAAGTATAATCCTATTACACCACAACATTCTTATTATTTTGATGTGATATAGCTTAGAGTATAATATAATTGTTCCTTTTAAAGAGAACCCCACGTGTCTTTTTTTATTAAATGTTAAATTTCTATTATATTAGTTGTAATTCGATGATCATACTCGAAGAAAAAAATCCATAAAATCTAATATCTTTCCATTATGATGTTTTGAATTTCTGTAAATGATCACTAAATAATTTTTGTTATATGTTGTTAAATTGCTTGTAATACTTATTGTCATGCATTTGATGTTATTGGATCTACGTGTTATAGTTGGATTACCTTTGTGAGTCACTTTCTATCGTCTTCTCTTCCACTTTAATGACAATGATAGCCTGCTTATTTTGCTAGTTGTCTTCCTTTCCAGTATTTAAGGTTATTGTGGTGTATGAATGTCAAGTGAAACGCTTCTACGTTAAAGTGGTGTGTAACGACGCAGTGCCTTTAGATGTGTGGACAATTTTTGTTTTATTAGAATAATTGACTCCAAGAAAGGTTCTAATCCCATCCCTCACAAAAAAGTCCGCCTATTAAAGTAGTGATACCAAGTTTGCTCTTTCTTTAGTTCATAAACTTCAAACCTACTTTTATGAGCAACATTTCTTTTTTATCGTATTGCTTAAAACTAGTCCAATTTTTGAATGAGACATTAAATAAATTTCACCGCAATTTTCCATTAATCTCGTGAAGAAATTAATATTTTTTTTTCTTTTGAGTTTTTTTCTTTCCATCTCCCACGTGATTCTTATATGTGCATTAAACCAGTACTTGAGCAGAAACTGTTCAAGTTTTAAATAATACGTATGAAAAGCTATGTTGCTCATAAAGTAAGGTAACAAGTAAAACAAAATAAAAAACCAACTTAGCAACAATGTAGATATCATTATT